TCAGGTTTGTTAATTGTGGTAAAATACACGTAAATAATTACTATCTTTACTGTTTTTGAGTGCACAGCTCAGTGGCCCTCTGGGCACATTTGTGGCATCAGCAGCTTTTACGGTTTCATGGAGCAATCGAACCAGTGCTCACACCCACCGGCTGAGCACCAGAGTTCCGTTGACTCTCTGTTCTCACCAATACGGCTAGTATCATGGTGTGTTTTATTTGTTGCTTTCCTTTTTAATTTTAGCCAGGGATTTCTCATTGTAGTTGTAATTTACTTTTTCCTGATGACTAACGAGGTTGGGCACCTTTTTATAAATTGCCATTCATCTCTCCCTCTTTTTGTTAGGGGCCTGGTGACATCTTTTGCATATATTTTATATTGGATTACCTCTTTTTTTTCTCCCTGAAAGGAGTACTTTCCCAAGTGCTTTTTTTACATTTTAAATTCTTTGGAAATTGGCTGTTGCTACGGTGTTTGTGGAAATTAGCTTAGGCAAGAAATGGAATGCATTGGAAAGGTGTGTGTGTGGGTGTCCTCTGGAACCCAAGGGTGGGTAATCAAGAAGTGGAAACTGTCAGATCCTTTTCCACTCTGGCCTCAGCATCATGTTGCTGTGACATTTGTAAAGCCTCCTGCCACCCACCAGGGGCCCTCCAGTTCCACAGTCCACTTCCATGGAGAAGACAATCTGGTTATTGGCTCAGCACGGTCAGGTGTTCACCTTGGCCAACCAGTTGTATCCAGGGGGCGAGGGCCTTGTGCTCTGGTGGTAGCTGGGGCCCACCCCTATGGATGGTGGAGGCTGTTTCCAGAAAAGGGGTTTAAGCTGGGGAGGATCCCCGCCTCCCTACAGGTGGCTACAACAAATTATGGAAACTCAAGAGAACCAAAATCTTTGCTTAGTGCTCCTTCTTTCTGGAGGCTGTTTCTAAAATCGTCCTGCTGTAAACTCAAGAGAACCAAAATCTTTGCTTAGTGCTCCTTGCTGGAGGCTGAGAGCTTCTAAAATCGTCCTGCTGTGGTTTTTTTGTGTTTTTTTGTTTTTTAAATATATTTTTATTGATTTCAGAGAGGAAGAGAGAGGGAGAGAGAGACAGAAACATCCACAATGAGAGAGAATCATGGTGGATTGGCTGCCTCCTGCAAGTCCCCCACTGGTGATCAAGCCCACAATCTGGGCATGCGCCCTTGACCGGAATCAAACCTAGAACCTTTCAGTTTTCAGTTTTCTTTTGTAAATGATGGTCATCACACACATGTGTACTACACATACATTTGAAAGTGGAATGGACAAGACAAAAGGGAAACCCAGAAGTCCGCTTGGCTTGCTCTCTGGCCCAAAGGGAAGTCCTTGCCCACCCTCCACTGGCCATCACCGAGACAGCCATTAACTAACTGGTGGCCTTGTGGCTTTGATTTTCGTCATCTCTAGAATATGATGAGATGTGTGTCCTTCTGCATCCTGGTGTCTAAAGGGAAACAGGGCCCATGTGTGGGAATGCTGGTCGCCTCTTGGGAAGGCCCTCTCACTCTTTGTTTTGGTAGCTGTTCACCTCCTTGCCATCCAGATCACCTGGGCACCTGTAAGTAGGGCAGAGTCTGGATCCCTTGGACAGAGAGGAGGCAAACCATTTGAGCTTCAGTTCCCCTCGACTGGTGAGAGGAAGAAGGGGACAGGGGCATGAATTTGTTTTAGCCATCATGTTTGAGGATGGCCCACTGAGGCTCTGAGGCTGTGACATCCTGGAGTGTGCCACATTGCTGGGGCTCTAGGCAGAAATCATGGCCTCTGGTAGGCCCTCTAAGTGTGGCCACAGAAGGACGTTCTGATCTGGGAGGCCTTTGCACGTGGTTCATTGTGTGTGAACAGCCACTCTTTGTGACCAGAGATGACATCACTGACCATGGGTCACCATCCTTGTGCTGCGGAGGGGAGGAACCTGGTGTGCACAGGGCTGAGACACGATGAGCTTGGAGTCAGCAGTTTTGAGCCCAGCTATACCATCAACACCTTGGTGACTTCCGAGTGCAATTTCCCACATGGAAAGTGGGGACAGGGCCAGGCCAGAGTGGCTCAGTTGGTTGAGCGTCATTCTGTGTTCTGTGCACCAAAAGGTTGCTAGTTCGATTCCTGGTCAGGGCTCATGCCTGGGTTGTGGGTTTGATCCCTGGTTGGCAAGTGAACAGAAGGCAACTGATAGATGTTTCTCTCTAACACCAATGTTTCTCTCTCTCTCTCTCTCTCTCTCTCTCTCTCTCTCTCCCCCCCCCCCCCCCTTTTTTTTTTTTTGGTCAAAGAAAAAAAATGAAAGAGAGAGAGAGAGAGAGAGAGAGAGAGGGAGAGAGAGAAAGGATCTGTCCCTCTTGATGGGTTCTGTGGGAAGGCGGGGCTAGGGCACTGCCTCAGGGGCATAGAGGAGGAGCTGGTGATGTGGTGGTGGCTTCTGTTCTCTTTTCACCTTTATGTCTTCCTTCTGTTTCTCTCCTCAGTCGCCTTTTCTTTTTCTTTTTAAAGATATTTTTATTGATTTCAGGGAGGAAGGGAGAGGGAGAGAGAGATAGAAAACATTAATGATGAGAGAGAATCATGGATTGGCTGCCTCCTGCATGCCCCCTACTGGGGATCGAGCTCACAACCTGGGCATGTGCCCTGACTGGGAATCGAACCGTGACCTCCTTGTTCATAGGTCAATGCTCAACCACTGAGCAACACCGGCTGGGCCGCCTTTTCTTATTTCCCTTTTTCCCTCTTCATAGCTGTGCCTGCTCCTTTTGGTCCAAAAGTTTGTACACACACATAGACACACAATATGCACACAACACACACACCATACACACATAGATACAGACATGCACCCGCAAGCACAACACATATACATATATCTGTATACAGATGTATCTATACTATGCACAATACTCTTATACACACATGCACACACATACATAATGCATGCACACTTGGGAACTGCTACCAGTTCCCTGTGATGCACACATTTGTCCTCTAAAAGTTCCTTTTTTTAAAAATGTGAGCATTTGAAAAGCATATAGAGAAGTATAGAATGTCCTTCATTCAGAATTCAGTTAGCATTTTCCATATTGTTGTCTCCTTCTTTCACACTTTTACCCCGTCTTGGACCTGGCACTTCCTTCCCATGTTTGGTTCATTCTTCTCTGTGTGTCGGTGTTCCAGGTCTGAGCTCTGGGGCTGCTCTATGAAGTTTCCAAACTCCTCTGTGTGAGTCGTGTTTGCTTTGGACTGCTGTGTGCTCACAGGCAGAGAGTGGTCCCCTCTTGTTACTGCCGCAGTGTTTGTCCATTTCCCTGTTGAGGAACATGTAGAGTGGTTGCAACTTTTTATGCTTGAAAGTCTTTTATTGGTCACCATATTGTATGTCTCTGCAACCAAAATATGTACATAAATTGAAATGAGAATTTTAAAAGAATTTTTCTTCTGGTTTGAGTGGGCATTATAAATACCCAATTGATCAAAACAACACAAATATAACAGTTTTTATAATAACAAACATAAATATTAAAAAGTATTAGACATGTATCTCTTAAGTGGATAGGTTACTTTTCCCCCAATTAACTCGTAGTCACAGTTGAATATACGTAGCCTGCTGCTGGAATGAGACAAATCAGTGTCAGTTCTAGTTCTGTTTTTCATTTTAAGTTGAGAAACCTTGTTCACATAAATCAGTAGATGGGAGTCAACAGAGGTTTGATAGAACAGTAGCATCTAATTCCACATTATTTGCTGACAAATTCAAAGATCACATAAAGATCTAATACCAAAAAATTGTTGCTGATTTATAAGGTGACAACTTGATCAAGTTCTCTCCAGTTCCTAATAACAGCTTTATTGAGATAAGATTCACATACCCTTTTAAATGTACAGTTCATTGGTTTTTCCAGAACATGGTTCCAGTTTTGTGATATTACAACCACTGTTGTAACACATATCCTTGTCCCATGTCTTCAATCTTTTTAAAAATAATTTTCCTGCTTTAAAGTTTAATTATAGAAAATGTATAAAATGCAGGTAAAGTAAAAAAAGTAAAACTCATCCATTGCCTCTTAATCCAGAGGTTTTATTTTATAGCATTTATATTTCTGAAGTTATTAAAACTTAAAACTGCACTAAGATGTGGAGGCCTCCTGTGTACAGTATATCAGGTTGTGAAAAGTGCTCTGGAGAAGAATAAAGCAGAGGAGGGGATTGGAGGAGGGTGGTCAGCAAGCAAGGAGAAGAGGTGGAGATAGTAAATTTTAAAAGGAATGATCAGAAAAGGCCCTGCTGAGAAGGAAATGAGGTAAAGGATCAGGCAGAGCTCTTGGAGAAGAACTTCATAAGCAGAGGAAACAGCAAGTGCAAGGGCCCTGGGGTATAAATGGGCTTGGGAGGGTCTGCATTATGTAAGGCTTTGCAGTCCACGGAGAGGAGTTTAGGACTTACTCTGATGTGATTAGGAGGTCAAGTTTCTGAGCAGTGGGATGTGGGAAATAGACTTTGGGGCTAGTGAGAGTGGAGAGACTGGTGGAGTGGATTACATTAATCCAGACAGGAAATGCTGGTGGCTTTGACTAGGGTGGCGGCCATTGAAATATGTTAGAATCAGGAGCCCAGAGTGGAGAAAGGAGGGAAGCCCATTGTGTTAGTTATCTCTTACCGAGTAACAAATGGACAATTTAGCTGTTTATAACAATAAATGCTTATTATCTCACAGTTTCTCTGGGTCTGGAATTTGGAGCGGCATAGCTGGTTTGGACTCGGGGTCTTCCATGAGGTTGCCGTCAAACTGTCTGCTGGGCTACAGGATCTGCTTCCTGGGTGGCTGTCACGCAGGGCTGGCAAGTTGCCGGCAGGTGGCTAGCGGTCCCGGTTCCTCACCAGGTGGACCTGTCCATAGGGCTGGTTGAATGTCCTCACAACATGGAGGGGAAGCTGGCTTCCCCCAGAGCCTTGGAAGTCCCCCTCCATCTTTCCCACGTTATCTTGCTTGTTACACAGGTCAGCCCTATTCAGTGTAGGAAGAGTCTGTCCAGGAGGTAAGAACCATGGCCTTCTTGGAGGAGGCCTACTTCACCCATTTTCTGCCGATCGAAAGGAAACTCTGGGAACTAGTGGGACATACCTGGTTGGACCTTGAAGGTCCCAGGAGGAGGTTGGAGCAGGAAATGCAGGGCCAGGGACCTGTCTCCCACCTGGAAGGCCTTGTAGGGACTACCTGGCTTCGTGCTGGCTCTGTGTTTGATTCTGCGTTTTCCTGAAACTCCCCTCCAGATGAGCTCCAGTCTCAAGACTCATGGTGGGGGGTCCGATATGAATGAAATAACTTAGACTCAGAGCTTGGATTTGGGGTTGTAGGAGCCTACTTAGTCTGGGGTCAGGGAACATGTATTAGTCTGCTGGGGCTGTCATAACAAAGCACCACAAACTGGGTGGCAAATTTATTCTTCCAGTTATGGCGGCCAGAAGTCCAAAATGAAGGCATCGACAGGGCTGGTTCCTTCTGAAGGCTCTCGGGGAGGATCTTCCTTCTTCCAGATTCCGGTGGTTCTGGGCATTCCCTGGCTTGTGACTACGCCACTCCAATCTCCAGTCTCCGCCTCCGTCTTCCTACTTTCTCCTTCCCTCTGTGTGTGTCTCTGTGTCCAAGTCTCCCTCTTTCTCTTAGGAAGACTGTCACTGGATTTAGGGCCCCCATCTAGTCTGACCTTCTTTTAACTGGTTTACATTTGCAAAGACCCTGTTTTTGAATGTCACGTGCACAGGCACTAGAGGTATGGACTGAAACCTATTCCTGTGAGGAACACAACTCAACCTGCTGGAGAAGGAAGCGATGTTGGTGTTGGGTACTGGATGAGTCCCTGAGCTGGGAGGAGAGTTCCTGGAGGGGGAAGGGTGTTGGGTAGACGCAGAGGTGGAGCAGGCTGGGTGGAAGGTCTGAGGCCTGTGTCTGGAGCCAGAGTGGGAAGGACAGCCCATGATGGCTTCTCTCCGAGTGGAGCTTTTCTCAGGGCTGAGCCCCTTCAGCCATCAGACGCTCTCACTGGATTGTGTTGAGCCTTCACCTAAAGTTGTTTTTGTTTTTGTTTTAAACCAGGAAACTACTTTGCTACACACTTTTTCATGGGAGGTGAGAAGTTTGACACCCCCCACCCTGAAGGTTACCTCTTTGGAGAAAACATGGATCTGAACTTCCTGGGCAATCGCCCGGTCCAGGTGGGTCTCGGCAGGGCTGGGCATGTGGGTGGTGGGGGCGAGGTCTCTGCCTTCAGCCATCTGTGTCCAAGCTGCAAGGATGAGTGGGTACTAAGTCATCTCCAACTGGGCAGAGCTGCCAACTGGTTGTGTGCCAATGACGTGTGCAGGGGGCGTGTCCTGGTGATACTCCCTTAGAGGCAGGGGACCAAGGGTGGGACACTAGGGACAGAGCAGCTGCTGTGGAGTCTGGTGCATCCATGCTATGAGGTTATGAACTTTAGGGTTTTGATCCCTTGAATGACTTTATTTGAAAAGAAAAAAGAACAGTGGAACAGAGGGCAAAAGATATGATCCAAAGGAGAAATGTAAACGGCTGGTGAATAATTTTTACAAGTTCTCCTTCACCAGTCACAAGAGAATCGCATGTTTGCTCATTGTGTTCCATTCGTCCAGTGTGTCCCTGGGATCCTGCCAAGGGCTGGGGACAGAGGACAGATCTTGCCCCATTCCCTGGGGGCGGCGGGGGTGGGGGGGGAGTGCAGGCAATAAAGAAGAGAGCAGTTGCCCTGCCCGGTTTGGGTCAGTGGATAGAGTGTTGGCCTGTGGACTGAAGGGTCCCAGGTTCAATTCCGATCAAGGGCACCTACCTTGGTTGCAGGCTCAATCCCTGGCCCGTGTTGGGGGCGTGCGGGAGGCAACCAATCAATGTGTCTCTCTCACATTGATGTTTTTTCTGTGTGTCTCTTCCCTTCCACTCTCTCTAAAAATCAATGGAAAAATATCCTTGGGTGAGGATTAACAACAACAACAAAAAAAGAGAACAGTTGACAAATGAGAGAAGGGGACAGGAGAGGGCTCTTGAGGGGGGACACTGACTGGGATTCAATCCCCAGTGTAAGGGGCCAGGCGGAGGCCCTCTCTCTCAGGAGACACTGGGCTCCATCCCCTGAGGTGGTTGAGTTCTGGGGCCTCCCTGCCCTGGAGGAGACGGAGTTCCTCTGGACCAAGGTTCTCCAGGCTGCTTTGACCTCGGAGCAGCTGCTTGACGTGAAATCTTGAATGGATCCTTTGATGGATGGGAGGCTAAGGGCTAGGACACAGAATGCTGGCCTCTGCCACCCTCCCAAGCCCACGAGAATGAGAACAGAACCTCACCTTCCACATCTGTGAAGCCTCAGCTTCGACCCAGGGTCTGACTCAACAGGCCTTCTGTAAATTTGTGTGCTGTTTTAACTTTTACTTAAGACCACCATAGATTCACCTGCACTTGTAGGAAATAACACAGAGATTCCATAGGCCCTTTACCCGGTTTTTCCTGGTGATGGTGTCGTATAAAACCCCAGTGCGCTCTCATAAGCAGGAAACCGATATTGATGCATCCCCATTTTCCACCAGTTATACAGCAGTGTGTGTGTGTGTGCATGTGTGTGTGTGTGTGCGCACGCACACACGCGCATGTGCATGTGTCCCTACTGGAATCTTTATTGACCATTGACCTTGAATAGAAAGCCTGGGAATGAGGTCTGAGAGCCCCAACCTCAATCGCTCCCCCGGGATCCCCCAGGCCAGGTCACTTTCATTGAGAGTCCTTGGAATAGGGGCACCATGGCCACAGGGTGTTCTGGTCCTGACTCTCCTTTGCCAGCCGTGTTGCCTGCAGTTTACCTTGATGTGAATGAGAATAAGGTCATCTAGTGGTTGGCATGAGAGCCCCAGAGCGCCGGGTGTGTACTTGCATTATCCCTGTTTTCTGTCCTCTGCCATATTGGGGAGTCATTGGGATTGCTTTCGGTTTTTCCCTCCTAGTTTCCTTATGTCACCCCCGCTCCCCATGAGCCAGTGAAGACGCTGAGGAGCCTAGTGAACATCCGAAAAGACTCGCTCCGGCTCGTAAGGTAACCCTTGACCTTGCCACATTCTTTAAACTAGGGGTTCACAACCAAGTGCCCACCCCATGACGTTGGACTATCTGGAGACATTTTTGGTTGTCACAGCTAGAGAGGGTGGTGTTCCTGGTATCTGGTGGGCAGAGACCAGGGAGGCTGTGAATACCCCTCAGTGCACAGGATGCCCCCACAGCCAAGAATGGCGCAGTTCTGACTGGGACTTATAGGGTTGGGACTTATAGGGTTGGGACTTATAGGGTTGATAAGCTGCTTTAAACCTGGAAGACCTGAGGCTTCTGGGGCCATCTCCAACCCAAGAGAACTTGTCTCCCTTTCTGTGACAAGGGAAGGAGAACCTTGCGTTATTGGGCCTTATTGTCCAAGCAGGGAGTGGGCATCCACATTTCCAGAAAGGTGGGATGCAGCCAACGCAGGGCCCCCTGGGGTATGCCATAGCGTGCTCTGTGCAGGCTGGCCATGTTCCTGCAGGCATGCCCCTGACCTACTGCCTGTCCCTCTGCCTGCCTGGAAGGTATAAAGATGGTGCCAATAGCCCCACCGAGGACAGCGAGAAGCCCCATGTCCTCTACAGCCTGGAGTTCACCTTCGATGCCGATGCCCGGGTGGCCATCACCATCTACTGCCAGGCGGTGGAGGAGTTTCTCAACGGGATGGCTGTGTGAGTCCCTGTGGTGCATGGTGGGCCCCAGCAGTTCTGCGTCTGTCTGAATTAATATATTTGAACTTTTAGAGGTTCTATTTGAAGTAGGGTCCTTTGGACCCCAAAAGTTTGAAATCAACTTAAGCACAACCACAGCTGGCCTGCCACCAGTCTGTGGGGCCTGACCCGGATGGGCCGGGCAGAATGCACCCGTCTCGTCCTGTGGGAGAAAACCATATGGTGGCCAGACTTGATCTGGGGATGGAGTGGTAGCTGAGAGTTCTGGCTTTACGTCTTTTTGCACACAAGCAGCCCGCAGTGCCAGTTTCTCAGGCCAGACGTGCCACGGTCCTTGAGAGTATCCTTTGTCCTAGAGACAGAGAGAAGCCCAAGGGACAGCAGGTGTGGGGTGGGGCACAGGGAGGCAGCAAAGGTTGTGTGTTGGATTCTTGAATGGGGAGATGCCTGAGTTTATCAGAATTGAAAACGTGTACTCTTTAACCCAGCCATTCCTTTCCTGGGAATTTATGTTGGGGATATGCTTACATGTGTGGCTAAGGTGTATGCAGAAGAGGGTCCTGGAAGCCTTGGTTGGAAAAGCAAGATATTGGAGACCACCTGGTGCTCACCAATAGGGGCCTGATTGCATCAGTTAGAGTAAATGCAGTGGAACAGATGCAGTGTTCAGAGAACACAGCACCTCCATATAGGGTGGCTATAGGACAGCTCGGGTGCATGAGTATTGAAGGAGCAGAGTGTAGGTGGGCTGCTAGTGGAATATTAAAGAAGAGACACCCATGCGTGACTAGGCCTCAACTCTTCCAGAAGTTATGCCTGGGTTGTGGATGGGCAGGGAAGCAGGTGGCTGGGAGCAAACACAAGGGTGTGGGGAATGGGAGGGCACTTGGCACTGCCAAGGTGGTGGAGTAGTTTCTCTATGGGCGAGACAGTGTACATTTTTGTGCCATGTTTGTTTAAAGAAGTCAACAAACCGTAAAAAGCAAATGGAAAGGCATAGCCATATCTGGAAAGGTAGCCATGTTATCTGGCAGGTGTGGGCTCTGGAAGACTAGTAACCAGGCTGGACCCAGGCAGAGCTGTGGTGAGCAGAATGAGACCTTGGAGGCCCTCGGGGTGTGAGGGCCACGTGGCCACATAGACTAGCTTTCTGCCCCACCAGAGAAGGGCTGGGACTTACAGGGTGGGACCTGCAAGTCAGGTTTCTACTAGGTCCCCAAAAGACCAGTGCCTGCCAGCGCCTGCCTCAGGTCCTGGCACTCTCACCTTCCTTTCTCTCCTTTAGGTACAGCCCCAAAAGCCCTGCCCTGCAATCTGAGACTGTCCACTATAAGAGGGGTGTGAGCCAGCAGTTCTCTCTGCCCTCCTTCAAGATCGACTTCTCAGAGTGGAAGGACGATGAGGTAACCTCCTGGCCCCTTGCCGGAATTCCCTCCCCCTTGTGGGGGCAAGCACAGTGGGGCCTGTTGGCTGATTCCTAACATTGATAGGCATCAGGAGTAGCTGTGGACCAAGGTGTGTGTGCTCATTTGGGCATGTGGAGTGCAGTTCAGTCCAAGTGTTGGCTGGAAGGAATGATCGAAGCGAGACAGCCGGCCACAGCAGAGGCTCCAGTAACCAGCTTTGGTGTGGTTGTCGGGCCCACAAGACTGCAGCGTGGCAGGATCCCTTCCACCTAGTGGTTCCACAGCGAGGGACAGTAATTTACAGGATGCGAAGGGTGTTCATTGCAGCTCTGTCTATAATAGTAAAAATTGGAAACAATGTACACGTCCATCACAAAGGGAGTTGCTTAGTTTATTGATGTTATGGGAGCCACCCATATATTTAATGTGGGCACCCTGGCTCATGTCTATTATGGGATGCCATGCAGTCTTAAAGCACAGGAGAGATCTGTGTATTCTGTACATACTGATGTGGAAAGCTCGTTCTGGGCTTGGAGAAGACCAAGTTGCAAACAAATGCAGTATAATCTCTTGTATGTGGCATCCACACAAATGCTCAAAACCGTTTCTGCAGGTATAATGTATGTGTATATAATTCTTGAGGAAAAACCAGAAAAGATGCTCATCAAGCTGAAGACAGTTATTTCTGCAGAGGGTTGTGGTGTAAGGAATACATACACGGACATGTACACCTGGGCCTGTGTCTGTGGGGTCTGCATTCATGGATTCAACACAGATGGAAAATATATTTTTTAAATGTTATGTTGTTGGTAATGTGTACTATGTAGTTAGGCCTACGATGGAATGGTTATGTCTGTACTGAACATGTACAGACTTTTTTTTTTCTTGTCATTTTTCCCTAAACAATACAGTATAACAACTATTTATATAGCATTTACATTATACTAGGTCCTGTAAGTAATCTAGAGATGATTAAAAGTACAGGGAGGGATGAATGTAGTTTATATGCAAATACTACTCTATTTTATTGAAAGGACTTGAGCACCTGAGAATTTTGGTATCCAAGGGGGGTCCTGGACCCCAGCCCTCACATATACTGAGAACAGACTGTATAGTGTGAGTGCTGACACTGTATACACTTCTGAACTATTTTTGTTTCATTGTTTTTACCAATTAAGGTATAATTTACATACTAAAAAATTCACCCATAGTTTAATTTAGAGATTTTAGTAAATTTATGATCACAGCTATTACCAATCCTGTTTTAGAATCCAGTTTCCATCCTCCTTATAGGATCCCTCATGCCCATTTACAGTTAACCTCTGTTCCTACCACCAGACCCTGGCAAACACTCATCTACTTTCTGTCTCTTTGGATTTGCCTGTTCTGGAGATTTCATATAAATAGAACCATATACTATTTGACCTTTTGTATCTTTCACTTAGCATCATGTCTTTTGGCTGTTGGCTATTTTGAATGATGGTACTATTTTGTAACAAGTTTTTGTTTTGAATGCATGTTTTCATTTGTCTTGGCTATAATTTACTATTTAACTATTTTAAAATATATTTTTACTAGAGGCCCGGTGGC